ACGTGGGGGCGCGGTGGGGTGGCGGTGCGCGGCCGCGGAGGACATCGGCGGCCGGCGGCAGAAGAGGAGGAGGAGGAACGGGGGGTCCCGGGTACATACCCCGGGCGGTGCAAACACACATCCCACCACCTCCCTTCACCCCCGTTCTCACATCCCGCCGAAAGGGAAGGAAGAGAGCTGACAAAAGATCCGCTTTTTATTAATTTTTTTTATTATTATTTATTTTTATACTTAATTTGGGACCGGGGCGGAGGGGGGGGGGGGGGGCACTTTCGCGTTTACAAAGCAACCCTCCCCCCCTAAAAAAAAAAAAACAAACCAACAAACCAAAAATCAAACCTAGCGAGCAAAGCCAGGAGCCTGCTGCATTGCACTGGATTTTTACTTTTTGTTTTGGTTTGGTTTTAACAATTATTTTTCCCTCCATCAGCTTTTTCACTAATTTTTGCAAATGGCCACGCTCAGCTCACGGCCTCCTGTGGGATTTACTCTGGGGAAAAGGAGCTTTTTCCGTAAAGGGCCCCTTCATATACTCCCCTCCCCGTGGTCCTTTTTGTTTTCAAATTTTTATTTTCTTTTTTCCCTTTCTTTGACAGGATTCTCCAAACAAACAAAAAATTACGCTTCTTTTTTTTTTTTTTGACATGCGTTTTCTCTTTTCTTTCCCAGGACTCTGGAGTGGTGGGTTAAGTCTTTGTAGCTGTTGTTGTTATTGTTGCAAAATAACCTGTAAGTCTGTAAATAACTCTGCTTGTACGGAAATGTCGGACTGCGCCGGGGATGCAAAACCGCGCTGGCTTTTCTGGAAGGATTTTGTGTCTGCAGTTCGCTGGGCAAAGGCCTTTGCTGGGAGGCATGGGGTGGCTGGGCAGGGGGAATAGTGCAAAGCCTTTGCAATCCATGTCTCGGGTGGGTTTTGCAGCAGGGCGCAGCGGGAGGGGGCCTGTCACCCCTGCCTTCCGCTGGTCCCGTATGGAAATGTATCGCTCTGTATGTAAATCCGTGGTGATTTCTGCCTTTCTATCCCCTGGCCTTGCGTATTTATTTCAAGTGGGCCTGCTGCGGGAGTTTGTCTCGGGGTAGGGGGGATGGATCAGCAGATCCCAAGTCTCATTTTCCTTTCCCCGTCGGTTCTTTGGGCTGCGAGGTGCCGCTGCCGCTCGGGTGGCGGGGAGCAGGGGAGGGCGCGCTCCGGGCTGCGATGGCATTCCCGGCCCGTTGCAATTAATAGAAATTGTTTACAAGAATAACCACTGCAGGTCACGGTGCCCTCGGTCCACTAATGCAATTGCTCACAGCTACTGGTTCAGCCACTGCCGAGCCCCACGGAGCAGCCACCTTGGACGCAAAATAGCCGGGTGCTGCTGTTATTTTCATTTCTTAGCTGAGCTCTGGAACTGAAACACTTTAAAGCAAGGAGGGGAAGGAATAAAAAGAAATTAGGAAGAAAGCCCTTGTGCTAATCTGCCTCATCATTCAAAACAGCCTGGTGGCAAAACAGGCATGGTACTCCCGAGATGCTTGAGGTAGTTCAGATGTGCTGGGGAGACGGCTTTCCTGTAGTTAAAAAGCAATATGTAATTCCCAGTGAGCGAGCACACGCAGCTTGAGCTGTGCAACTCTGATCCCGGCCCTGTGCAGGGAGGAGGTCCCCGGGTGTCTGCAGGCTGCTGGGGAAGGAATGGACCCAATAATATGAATTCTGCTCTGGGATTTTTATTTTTTTTTTCAGCACTGAAATTAAAGGAGGGGGATTGGGGGGGGGGTGGTGGTGGTGGTGTGTGTGCTGGTGGTGGTGGTGTAGATCTTTTCTGTTTGTCATTTCTCTGCAGTGCGTGATGCTTTCACTTTATCAGAAGTGTGTGCTTGGCGGAGCCCAGTGCCTGCGGGACGATCGGGAGCAGCTTGGGTGTTTCTTTTTTAGTGGAGACCCGAGGTCGAGCACAGCTTCTGTTCAAGTAGCACTTTTACAGGGGAGATTTCTCTCTCTGGCTGGCTGCAGCCAAGCTGGGCTTGCATCAGAGTTTCCATTCTAACCCTCCTCGTTACAGGGACGTAGAGAGGAGCCACCACCATCCTCTTTGGGCTGGGAGCTGGGCAGTCTGGGCTGCTTTGTGGGGTTTTTGGCCTTTCTCCTCCAGTTTCGTACCATGCGCAGCCGCAGCTCCCCAGGGACTGCTGCCACCCGCCTCCACTTGCTGCCGCTTCCTCCTGCCCCCCAAAAGCTGCAGCAGTCCCTGTGGTGCCTTGCAGGGAGCTTCAGGGTGCTGGGGATGGGGTCATTTCTCTGGGACCTGTGCCGGGCGAAGCCTTGCCACTCTCTTCTCTTGCCTGCCCCATCTGAGTCCCAGCTCGGGACCAGCCGGTGGAGGTGACTACCAAGCAGGCAGGGCAACCATTTGCTGGCGGGGCTGCCTCCCTCACTTCAGTGGGCTGACAGCAAGCGCTTCACTCTGGGGGGCAAGGTGGGTTCATGGTGGGGAGGGCTGCCAGAGTGGGGGGTGTGGGAAGACACCAGAGGCCCCTGCATTGGCTGCGGGGCACTCCCCACTGGCCTTGGCCTTGCTCTGGGTCCTGCAGGCCCATGAGGTGCCTGCATGGCATGCAGCTGGCCCTGCTTGCTGGGGGCTGTGGTAACCCCGCTGTGGATGGCCAGCCCCACGCACCCCCTCTGAAAAACATACCCCACCTTGCACAGAGCCCTCACCCAGGCAGGGGTTTGAACCCTGATGAGCCGCCTGGCAAAGGGGTGGCGATGATGGGAGGGGAGTGATGCCGCTGGAAATGGGTCCTCTTGGAGTTGGCAGGGGCATTTCTGGGCACAGTGGAGGGGCTGCGGAGGCAGGAGCAGTGCTGGGCATCGCTACAGGTGCCTCAGGACCCCACCGCAGGGTGTCCCGCGTCAGTCTCTCCATTCCCCCCCTTCCTGGCAAAGCTTCTTGGATAGAAAGCAGCCCTTCTGCTGTGTGTTGGCATGTAGGGCACAAAGCAGTGGAATTACTTAGCCCTCCCTGAGAGCTGCAGCTTAGTGTCGAAAGCCTCAGAACTGAGGTGCTGCTTGGGGGCGATGAGAGCCCCCAGGATTTGGGTGCCCTCCCCTGACAGGGAACACAGAGCGGGTTTTTAAGCAGCATTGCGGCGAGTACGTATCTTTCCCAGGTGAACTGCACCCCTGGAAAGAAGCGCCTCATCTTTTACAAAATACTGCTTAAATAAACAATGACCCGCTATAATTTTTCCTTTTGAAATTAACTCCTTCAGGCCATGAGGCTTACCCGTACCCGTGCAAAATGGTTCTATGGAAACAGCTGCCAGGAATTTCAAAGGGAAAAAAAGAAAACAAAAGTGTCTGGGAGAGAAAAGTTTAGCTTGTCAGGAGAGAGCCTGTAAATCTCTCCCCTTCCCCGTGGCAGTCGGAGATGGGCTGTGAGAGCAGCCTGCCCGTTTCAGAGCTGGGTGCTGCCACACAAGTGTTACTTAAAAGGAGTTCTGTGAATATTGATGCCTGTACACTGAGGCCAGGCTGCACACTGTGCGGGGACAGCCTATTCCCTGGTTGAATTGGACTATCTTGTTTTCTAATCTAACCTAGTTTTTTTCTGTTTCTTTTCTTCTTTTTTTTTTTTCTTTCTTTTTTTCTTTTTTTGTTTTGTCAGAGGTTGGTGCTTTGCGGGAACCTGTTCTCAGTGCAATCTCGGAGCTTTTTGTGGGTGTCTAATTTCTGTAACATGTTTTGGTTTCCAGTATGAATGTAACGTACAAAAAATATCATGACACTGCTCTAGGTGTATGTGATCTTATCTACCTGACATTTAGGTTTTTTTTAACCGTCCGATTCACCTGATTTGCATAAAAATCACATGATTTTTTCTTTTTTTCCTCCTTTTTTTTTCATGCATCATCATAACAAACTACTCTAGTTTACCAGGCTGTTTTCTGTCTGTCGGCATGAATGCAGTGCTCAATTCTTTCCCCTTCTTTCCTCCCTGATGGAGGTTTGGGATGTTAAAGGTAGCACCTGGAGGGGACCTGTGATCCCAGTCAGCCACGGGAATCCGTAATAAGCAAACATATACGGTTCAACTTCCAAGAAAACAAAGCAGCTGAGCACGCATCCCATTCGGTTCTTGTTAATTAAAATAGATGACATTTCTTTTTTATTGATAAGGAAACTCCCCCGGAACAGTCCCCCCGATCCCAGAAGGCTCCCCCTGCCGCCGCTGTCCTCATTACAAAACAAGGCCGCAATTAAAATAAACTCCAAGAGCTAAACAAACTGCTGCCTCTCGCTGGTCATGTGTTAACTTTAGCTTTTAACGCAGAACAAAATGTTTTCCCGGGTATCGGAAGAGGCATGGGCTCTGGCTGGGAGGGGAAGAGGGAGCAGCAGCCGGGCGTATGGAAATGGCAGGGAGTGGAGCACTGCGATGCTCATCGGGGCTCCTTTTTCTTGCCTTTTTTTTTTCTTCTTTTTTTTTTTATTGGAGTGTTTGTGATCTGGCTTGGTCTTTACTGCGAGGGAAAGCACTGGAAGTAGAAAAACTTGAATGTCATGGTAAAGCCTGGCTGTTCCAGCACGCCTTGGGCACACCTGACCGTACCTCACCCCTGCCCAACCCGGCTCCAAGTCAGCCCACTGACCGCTCGCTCATCCACAAGCCCTTGGCCCAATTTGTGTTGCTCCTATCATGCATTGTGCAGAGGCTTTAGGCAACCATAGGTACCACTCCACATCTGCTGGCATCTGCAGCTGGACTGATATGGGAGGGGGAATGACATGGGGCATCCCAGAGAACAGGACCAGAGGGACGGAGCGATGGATGGAGGGAGGGACCGCCAAAGGCTGCAGAGGGGCACATGGCTGGCTGGTCCACAGGTCCTCCATACAATGATACAGCTCCCTGCACTGCCTGAGAGCATGCTGTTGCCTCCATGCCATGTGCAGACACCCCATCTGAGGTTACAAATTGCACTCGGACCAAAAACGCATGAGAAGAACCACTCCGATGACAGAGGAGTGCGCATCCACGCCTCTCTCAGATAAAACCCCAGGATAATATTCCTGCAAAATTGCCCAAATAACTGGCATATCTGCTTGGCTTTCACTGCTGGGAGACAGTGCAGACTTGCCTGTCAAAAATTACTTTCCTCCCACGTAGGCAAAGGAGTAAGATATCTACCTGTCTTTTTGCCTAATCTCCCAAACACTGACTGCAAGTAAATATCAGTTACCAGGAGGTGCACAAGGATCATTTCTGTACCACTGAACACCAACAGCCTTGTGCCATGTCTGCACCATCTTTGAGTTAAAAGGGAAACTTCATCCAGAAGTTTTCCAGCCACAGATGATTAACCTCCCACTCCTCCCTGGTCCTGTCAGTTTTTAACCAGTTATGGACCAAAGCCCAGCAGTGCTTGGTGGGGCTGTGCTGGTAAGGGGTCTCCTGGCAGGGTGCATGGTGAGGGAGCCTTCACCCAGCCAGTATCCCCAGCCTACTCACTTGCTTGTCCCAAGATCTTGTCATCCTGGTGCCTACGAAGATATGGAGCGTGTGACCTGTGGAAGCTGAAAATCCCTGGCCCGTGGCTGAGCTGCACCACTGACCTCTTTCCTGTTCAGCAGATCTGTCAACTTTCAGCTGTCAAGATTAAAAAAACCTGACTAACCCCTAAAGATACTTCCCTGATAAGGAGTTGTGCTGAGATATTTCAAACTTAAGAAGTAAGTGGTTGCTTTGTTGGGGAAAAAAAAACAAATCAAAAAGAATAAAGGCAGTGCTTGCTTTGGATGGTTAGTAGTATTATTTATTACTCTTATACTCATGCAGCAGAGAATCTTGCAGATCCCTAATATTAAAAAGCAGAAAACAGTCTAAGAAGAAGGACGATGCCTCAAAGTTTAACCAGCACAAGCACATTGAAATTAAAAGAGGGATTTGCATCGGTCCTGATAATTTTTGAATCAGGCCTTTAAAGCTCAGGCTAAACTAGCCTGGGTTTTATTTTGGTTTTGTTTGTTTGGTTTATTTTGTTGGTTTTTTTTAGTAACTCCTCGGCCATCTCAGCCAGGAGAGTGCTACGTGAATTTCTATTTCTCTCTTCAAATAAAACATCAACATAAATTTTATATTCTTTGAAATGATCTGTACAATTTTGTTGATGGAAAGCCTTTGATTTAGACTTAAAGGATTTAGTGACTGGATGAGAGGGTATCTGAAAGCAATGGTGAAAATTGTAATTATTTGTTTTACTGCCTCTGAAATTCTTACATTTCTCTGTTCTATCTCTAAAAGCATGTCTGGCAATAACAAGCTGTCTCTGAAAAGAATTCAATTAAATGTATTGCCAACAGAATATTTTATATATTTTTTATACTAGTAGTTACAGTGTTAAATAATATATTAGTAGATTTATAGACTACATTTAGGTATGACTATGAATAGCTACAGTAAAGCCCAGGAATATTTGTGTAATAAAAGGGGGGAGGGTAGGTGGTTTGGTTTTGGGGATTTAAGATTTTTTTCCCCTTTTGCTTCTTATTTGAATTACAATTTTAGGACTTAAAAGAATTGTATTTTCTGATCTGCTATTCTCAAATGACAACAATAAGTCAGCTATTTCTTTGAGGCAAAAATTCACATGGGATTTTTCCTTGTTTTAAATAATTAAATATTAAAGGAGTAAGAAAGAAGCAGGCAGATTCTACGATATGGACATGAATCAAATGGGATATTTATTTGCATAAGTACATGACAAATAGGGAAGGATCGATCCCAAAACTGTATGAAATTGCCAGTTACTCCATTACAAAGTTACAAATAGATTATTACCCGTAAGAAGTAACTCTTAATGTCCTAAAAATAATTTAACTCTAGAATTATTTTTATTTAATCTGGTAAATGACAAATATATTTTTAATTGCTATAAAGCAAAAATAAAATGTCTTCCAGGAGCTCGAAACTAAATTAAACTGCTCCCCTCACTCCTCCTATTTTTTTTTCAATGGACATTTCTTTCTGTTTTTTTCTTTTTTTTTTTTCCTTCTTTTCTTTTTTTTTCTGTCTGAAGTCTCCTCGGCTCTTCTGAATTTTGCAATTTATTTCTCCTTCCTTCTGCCTCAAGAAAAATACTTTTCATCTGAAAACATGATACCTTTTTTTCTTCCGAGCCTCCTTGCAAATTGCCTCGCTCTCTCCAGACAAGTTTCTAGGATCAACAAGTTAACCTTCAGAAAGATTACAAAGGTGCAAGTGGGCTGCTTAAGAGGTGAATCATTAAACATAAGGTGAAGTATACGACTGCAGAAGGTTTCAATTAAAGTGACAGTTCGGGCAGCCTTTGCCTGCCTAGGAAAGGTATGCTTTTATTGTCAGCACCGCGTTGGAAACTGTATGCATCCTGGGCAGGAAGGGTTGGTTCCCCCCAGCCGTGTTCTGCAGTGCCAGAGCTGCTGTTGGTGCTGCGGTCCTCGCTCAAGCAAACAACTGCACCGGTTTCAGAGTGATAAATTCAACTGTGACAGCATTAAATATGGGAAAGGGGCCAGATCTCCTTTCTGTCCCACCCAGGATGGAATGAAGGAGCCTGCTTTGGACATGCCTTCCCAGAGGCTTCACCCAATGCTCCTCACCACCCTGGCCTGAGGCAAAGCAGGATCAGGCCCACAACTTTCCCCATTACTTCCCCAAATCCTGTTTGCTTCTACTTATTATTATTTTTTAAGGTAGCTTTGTTTTAATATGACAGTATATTTAATAAGCAGCTCCGGGGTGAAGGCAGGAATGCAAGATCCTTCCTGAGTGATGGAAATACCGCAGTTGTGCTGCCTCGTCCCACCATCCCCATGGCTGCTCAGAGTGGGGCTGGCATGTCGGCACCTCTGGCCCCCTTGCCAAATTTCCCATGGGTGCCCAGGGACTGTCTGCCCCCATGCAGAATCTACAGCTATGAGCAGAAGGCAACACATGGGTGACCAGTCCACAGGCAGCTGCCTCTGCTGTCTGACCTGCATGGAGGCATCCTGCATGTTTGGAAGGGGCACATGCAACCTTGGGCTTGTTTTCCCTGGCTTTAGGGAGTACAGTCGGCATGGTGGTGAGGCAGGAGGTAGAGGGGGTCAGTTCAGCTGTTCCCCTGACCTGGAGCAATGTTGTGACATTTTTCTGGCACTTTCCTGGTTTAAATTTTAAGTATTTCTGGGATTTGTATTTTGCCCCAACATGTTTCCATATGGCAGCCCTGAGTGTGGATGAGATCCTCTCCACAAGGATGTTCCAGTGATTGGGTTAATTCCCTCCTGCTAATTCCTTACATAATCATGTGGGCTCGGATCCTCAAAAGTATTTGTGTGCCTCCCTCCCTTGGAAATCAGGGAGTTTAATTGTCTGCTAAAATTATTGTGTTTTGTTTTGAAAGCAGAACAGGAAATAACAAACTTGGATTTTATGAGATTTGCCTCTTTGTGGCCACAGAGCATTTTATCTACCTTCACAAACAAATTCACAGTTAGATGGTGAGGTGCCCAGGTTACATATGGATTGTTAGAATGTGACCAGTGGTAATTGGGTGCCATCATAGGTTAGGGGAGCTGGGTCTTGGCCTGTTGGTGCTTCTGGTCCCAGCTGGTAAAATGCATATAGGACAATGACACGGTCTTGCAAAGACGCTGTAGGGAAGAATCCATTAAAGACTGTGAGATGCTGAGATAGGGGGATAATAGAGATCACGTCAGTGAGAGATGCCATCTATTACAGATAACGATTGCACAGCTGACTGCATCTCCCTCTCTGGAAATGGCTCCTTTCTTAGTTTCATTTTTAGCTACATGACCCAAAAGAATTCTTCTCACTCCTTGGCATTTGTCCCCTTCAGATATTTCATGCAACACGGAAGAAGGAGTAATCAAAATACCGTGACATTGAAGTTTATTGCCGATCCTGCTTGTGTCGGTTGAAATCAGTTGCTAAATCCTCAGCCTGCAGGACCCCGTGCTCTGTATTTTTCTTGTCTAGGTAATCACGATGGCAGCAGGGGGAGGTAAGTATAAGGGAAAGGACTGATTTTATTAGGTGTTAGAAGAGCTTATTAGAAAAGAGGCGGGGGGGGAAAGCAATAAAATCGTAAAGACAGGAATTAAAACAGTGATAAAATCCTGTCCCTGCTGACTGCAACGCGACACTTCTCATGCACCCTTTCTCAGTCTGGAAGATCCCCAAGCATTGATAAACATTTCAGAAGAGCCCAATTCCACAGCAGCAAGCGGTGATGAATACCAGGAGGAAAAATTCTCGGGTGCCAGAATCATCCCGGCAGCTTCAGAGGCAGTGTTTAACCTGCTGCCTTGCAGCCTGTGGGCCCTGTTTGGGTTTGTTGTCAGTGAGCAATTTAGATTCACAGTATACCTGGGTTATATTTAGGCCAATTAAATTAATTGCTGGAACAGACAACCTTTTTTATACCCAAGGCAGTTTTTGCCCCCCTTCTCGATACCGTAGGGCTGATGTAGTGATTCTGGAGCTTTGGTCTGGCAGTCAGAGCATGTGTGTATTTTACGTTAAGAAACAGCAGCAGGGATGGATGCTGCTAGACAAATATTTGGTTAGTTTTTTTTAATTATTAGTAATAACAATACACTGCTCTCTCAAACACCTTTCATCTCAGAGCGTTTTCAAAATGCAGGTAAAGCCAAGCCAGGCAACTCTGCTCTAGGGGCTGTAATTAGCTTTAGTTCCACTTTGTAGATGTGGAAAGTAAGACAGAAGGAGGTGAGAGGATCGGAGGTGAAGCAAAGCCAGGGAGCAGTGCCCTGAGCAGCAGCCAGCAATGCCTGCCTGAGGCAAAGCTCCAGCCACCGTCAGGCTCTTGGTGGACCTGTCCTGTAAGGCAAGCTCATTTTGCCATGCTGTGCTGATACTCAAGCCAGCTCCTGAGCCACGAGCCTCAACTTTCCTTCCTGGGAGGTTGAAACACACCTCGGGCAGGAGGATATCCCTTGGTCAGATGGTTTCATGCTGTTCTCCTTCGCAGCCCTCCTCGTGCCTGGGCTCCACACACAAGAAACCCACCAAATGGAGATGGTTCCTCAGTGACCAAGAAGAGGAGGGACCTGGTAGCCTTTGGAGCCTGGTCCCCACAGCTCTGGGCTCTCATATCTTCTTTGGCAACTACAAACTCACCAGGTTGTCTTTTTGACTCTGGCTGCCTGTTGCAGGATCTCTTTCCCCACATGGTCAGCGTGCTTCTTCCAATTTCTATGTTTGTTCATAGACTGTTGCCCCCTCCACCGTGCTTATGTCAACTCTGTACGCTCTAGGTCCCTTGGACATCTGTGCCCAGGCTGTGTTTGTTTTGTTTCAAAATGGGTAGAAAGCTCAAAAATTTGGGATTATGTCCTAGGTAATTTGAAATCTTATTCCAGAATAATTTAGTAGATGTCTGCCCATTTCTGACTGACTGATCCCTTTCCCTCTTTTTGACCCTGGAGCAGAGGTAGCAGAATGCACCATGTTTCCTGGACACCAACCTGGCAGTCTGCCCTGTGGTCTTATCAACATCTTCTTCTGCAGTTATTTCATGGGTCTTTGGTTCATGACCCTTGTTGGATACAGCTGTGGTGGCTGAAAAGGTTGCCATTCCACTCATGGATGTGGAGGACACATATCTCAGGAGATTTCAGCACATGGATAAGGTGATTCGTATGGGTTCTTCTGGTCTGCACCTTCCTTTAGTAGGGCCATGCCATGTTAGCCAGGATCTAGGCCTAAAACTAAAATAGGTAAGTGCTAGGTCTAATTTTGAGGGGAAAAGTAAAAGAAACAGAAAAATGCAGTGACTTGAAATAGTCTATTCTACTCTACTCTACTTTGCTCTACTCTACTCTATCCTATTACACTCTGTTCTGTTCTGTCTGTTCTGTTCCATTCCTTTCAGTTCCATTCTGTTCTGTTCTGTTCCATTCTGTTTGGCTCTGTTCTGTCCTGTCTATTCCATTCTGTCCCATTCTGTTCTATTCTGTTCCTTTCTGTTCCATTCTGATGCACCATGAATGTGTGTTCCCAGCAAGTTTCCTGGTTTAGGCCCTAAGTGCCAACACAGAGATCCTGGCTGTTATACTGAAATTAGTTGAGCTCAGCAGATTGTCAGGGCTTCAACCCGACACAAGGATTCAATCACTTAAGTGTATTTTAGATCCCAATTGACCTGGTACTTCTCTCTTTTATTATCTGTGCACAGTCTCTCCTGCTGTGCCAAGATTTCTGTGTTCTTCATTTCTCTTCCATCTCTTATGCCACAAAGTCAAGTGAATGTCTTCAAGGAAATCTCAGTAATAAAACCTATTTCCTCCTCTCTGCTGCAAAGAGAAAGCAGAGTAATAGTTTCTTTATCCATCAGGGACTGGTTAATGCCTCACTCCTCATCATCACCAAATGCAGCTAATAAAGGAGTAAAGGAGATTTGGCAGTTTAATGCAGCAGCTAATTTTGTGCCTGCTGCCCTGCCAGAAAGTATTTTCACTTTTGGGTGATGCCAGAATAGCAGAGCTGATTAATTAGCCTTCTCTTGAGCAGGAAGAGCTCAGCTAAGATGCCTCCAGCCCCCAAACATCCCAGGCATTAGCCAACTTTGCTAGGAGCTGGCGTTCCCAGTATCTCAAGGGTTAATCAGTCTGTCTGGGAGAAACAGAGCTTTCCCTCAGGAGGGAGCAGGTCTTTTATACAGATCAGGTATAGCTGTGTCATTGAGAGAACTGGCTAGAGAAAGCTCCTAGTACGTAGGTGCTGGCCAGACACCACCAATGTGGTGGCTCACAGTGGGTCACTACACTCTGCGTTTGAGGGAGGCAGCGCAAAAACTTTCAAGTCCCTCTGTGACTCTGCGGATTCAGCTTTGGAAGGGTCAGCACTGTAGCTGTTGCATGCAAGCATGGGGATCTATGGAAGATAGAGCAACATGGACCCAACAGGGCCATGATAAGCACAGCCCCTGCACCAGCTCAGCAGTATTTTCCGTGCATCATTAACTTCTCAGGAGCTTTCCCTACCTTGCCTTTGTCTTCCGCAAGGTGCTTCAGAACATCTTAAGCCTGTGCACAGATTAATTAAACTCAGAGACAAGAACAGATAGTTTCCATAGGACCTGGTCATCTTCTTTTCTATGTAATTTCTCTGAGGTTTTATTATAATGCCTGTAAGACGTTGCAAGACCAGGAACCTAGGGAATATATTCGTAGGCAGAGAAACTCCCTCCAAGCATGGGATGTGTATAATCCAGCAAAACAAGTCCTTTGGTCTTGGTTGAGTTCCTCTAGATAGTAGAATCATAGAATAGTTAAGGTTGGAAAGGACCTTAAGATCATCTAGTTCCAAACCCCCTGCCATGGGCAGGGACACCTCACACTAAACCATGTCACCCAAGGCTCTGTCCAACCTGGATTTGAACACCACCAGGGATGGAGCATTCACAACTTCTTTGGGCAACCCATTCCAGTGCCTCAGCACCCTCACAGTAAAGAACATTTTCCTTATATCCAATCTAAACTTCCCCTGTTTAAGTTTTAACCCATTACCCCTTGTCCTGTCACTACAGTCCCTAATGAAGAGTCCCTCCCCAGCATCCTTATAGCCCCCCTTCAGATACTGGAAGGCTGCTATGAGGTCTCCACGCAGCCTTCTCTTCTCCAGGCTGAAAAGCCCCAACTTTCTCAGCCTGTCTTCATATGGGAGGTGCTCCAGTCCCCTGATCATCCTCGTGGCCCTTCTCTGGACTTGTTCCAACAGTTCTATGTCCTTTTTATGTTGAGGACACCAGAACTGCACACAATACTCCAAGTGAGGTCTCACGAGAGCAGAGCAGAGGTCTTCAACCCGACACAAGGATTCAATCACTTAAGTGTATTTTAGATCCCAATTGACCTGGTACTTCTCTCTTCACCTCCTTCGACCTGCTGGTCACTCTCTTTTTGATGCAGCCCAGGATACGGTTGGCTTTCTGGGCTGCGAGCGCACACTGAAGCCAGCTCATGTTCATTTTCTCATCGACCAACACCCCCAAGTCCTTCTCTGCAGGCCTGCTCTGAATCTCTTCTCTGCCCAACCTGTAGCTGTGCCTGGGATTGCTCCAACCCAGGTGTAGGACCTTGCACTTGTCATGGTTAAACTTCATGAGGCTGGCATCAGCCCACCTCACAAGCGTGTCGAGGTCCCTCTGGATGGCATTCCTTCCCTCCAGAGTATCAACAGAACCACACAGCTTGGTGTCATCGGCAAACTTGCTGAGGGCACACTCAATCCCACTGTCCATGTCAGCGACAAAGATGTTGAACAAGACCGGTCCCAACACCAATCCCTGAGGGACACCACTCATTACTGGTCTCCAGCTGGACATTGAGCCATTGACTACAACTCTTTGTGTGCGGCCATCCAGCCAGTTCTTTATCCACCGAGTGGTCCATCCATCAAATTGATGTCTCTCCAATTTAGAGACAAGGATGTCGTGTGGGACAGTGTCGAACGCTTTGCACAAATCCAGGTAGATGACATCAACTGCTCTACCCCTGTCCATCAGTTCTGTAGTCTCATCATAGAAGGAGATGCTGTGACAGTAATAAAAATACTGACAGTTTTGGTCTGGAGATTTGAACAACTTCTGCAGAGAGCTGGTGAGCAGGTGAATGGCTGTGAAGAGGGAAAGAGGCAGATGGTATGGTGTGCTTCTCCTCTGGACCTGCTGCTGGGCTGCAGCATGTACCTAGGCAGGTACCCCACCATGAGCATCTGCACTAGGGCTGGCTAGCTGTGCTGCTTTTGTAATGGGCACAGAAAACCAGACGCCCCACAGAAGCCCTTCATCTCACTATGAAGGAGCATCTCATGGAAGGCTGGCTTTGCCTTACAAGTACTTTTATGGGTGACCCAGATGGCTACATCAGAGAACTTGCTGTTGAAACACAACCCCCATTTGGGGTTCCCTGGGCCTGATGGACTGGTGCTGAGCAGGTCAGAGCACTGACTGTGCCCTGGCTTAGGGCCGGGCTGTGCCCATGCTGCTCCTGTATGGCCAGGGTTAAAACAAAGGACAGAAAATCAGGGCAGGCTTTGGGAAATATGGGTCTCCACCTCTTCTCTTTGCAGACCCTATAGCAGCAGGTGGATATGTGTTTTTTTCGTGACGTAGGAAGGACAGAAAAGTTAACTAATGTCACAGAACCCTCCAGATGTGCATGGTGCTGCTATTATAATGAATGTTGCTTTACTATCCTTACACAGTGTCATTACTCTATTAGAGATGTTGCTGCAGGATCAGTGCCTGCACTGTACCATGCAGCAGCAAAGCAGAAGATCCTTTCGATCCCACCTACCCAAGTCAGCTTTCCTGGGAGCTGCACCCAGGCATAGCTGTGTTTTGCCAGGCTCACTCGGAGAGACCTAATTTTTGGTTTGCTGTTGATTACAGCACATCCTGATCACCCAGAGTACAGTGCCAGGGCTTGCTGTCCATCCTGGTCTGCCTTTGCCTCTCAGATGCCACTGTGTCATTCAGGACAGGGATGCAACCTTGCCACTGTGCGCTTCCGGCTCTGAAGTGGAGAGATTTCTGCCCCAACAAGTGGAAATCACCCCCACTCTGCAGGTAGCATGGAACTTCTGGCTATTCCTGCCTTCTTAGGCTTTCTGAGCACCACTTCTGCCAGCCCTATGTGTCAAGCTGAATATCTCCACATGGGCACTTTTTCAGGGACATACAGACTTAACTCCATCCTTATCCACCAGGGACCCTGAACGCATCCTTAGCTGAAAGCAAGGGCTTATGCTCCATTGCAGGTAGGTGAGGTTTAAGCCAGTCTGCAAAGCAATTGTGTCAGAGGAAAACGTGGTGCCTTTTGCAGAGACTCATGACAGCTGGCAACAGCCGAAACTTGCCATTTCAAAGCGCCAGGCTGCTAAACTGCAACACAGAGAGGGAAGACCTTGATCCAGCCAAGGAGATAAGATGTTTCAATTGGTACAAAGTAGCTAGTACAACAGTGGACTAAATAAAAGGTTGCATCTGTGAGGTGGTGCAGCCTGGTGATGAGGCAGGAGGCTTCAGGCGCAGCGTGCTGTAATACAGTGCAGAGATAAGGGACTACAAACATGCAGCCAGAAAATGGAAGCAGGATCAGTTCTGCATTTTCTGGAGCAAAACACTTTCCTACATAAAACATACTGTACAGGTATTTCCATTTCACAATATCCAACTTCATGGTGAGGGGAGAGAAGTTGCTTTTCTTCCACAATCCAGCTTTAATATGACTACTCCAGATAGGACAAGATGCTCGGGTTCACTTAAGGCATGTTATGGCAAAGCAGTTAGGAAGAATGGCCTTGGCCTTTCCCAGGCATAATGGCATGTGTGTATGATGAGAGCTAGATGAGGCTGTAGCACCCCCCTGACCTTGCAGAGCAGCCCTCGTTCCCAGAATGTGGCATGCCTGGGTCTGGCTGTACATGCCAGACATGTGGTGGGATGCTCAATGTGCTGCAAAAGTGCTGTTAGCACACAGTGCAGTTGGAGCTCCAGGAGCAACACACTGGCTGTGTGCTTTACAGCATACGGCAGAGTCTGACAAATCGACTCACCTTGATTTATCTCGCTCTCCCAGATGATATCTTGAAATGTCTCAATCCCATTGCTCCAGCTCAACCCGCCAGATAAGAGACAGTGTGTGCATCGATGGGACTGTTCAGGCAGCAAGCGAGTCCAGCTGGCAGGAAGCACAGTGCCTGACTGCAAGGGGACAGATCTTTCTGCTGTGGCAGTCACGAGATCAAGAAATGCTTTTTCTTCAGTAGAACTTGTTGATTTTAAAAATAAAGCAGCCACGGCCTATGCTCCCAGGAATGTCTGGTATCAGGAAAATGGAAAGACATTTTTCCATTCCTAGTGTAATTTGCACTGTAAAACCTAAACAGTGTTTGTCCTTCTGGGCCTACCCAGCTCCACACTTCTTATCAACACAGTGTTTTGGTGAGTGACCTTCCTCTGGATCACTAATACGGCTGAAGTGACACAGTGATAGTGCCAAATTCCTGGTATCTGACAGCTTCCACCTTCCTACCCACAGCCAAGTGAATCCAGGGAGTGCTCTGCTCATGGAGTAAACAGCCTGATCTGAAGGTACCTTTGGATCAAACCAAGGCCCAAACCCATAAAAACCTGTGCACCTGCTCGGCTCTGAGAGCATGAGTAATCACAAAGACTGAACATATTATTTCTGTCATTTATTTATACATGCTATTTCTATGGCACTCTTCCCCTATTATCTCGTGTCTTGTAAACATTAATGAATGGTTCTCAGCTTCCAGCACATTGCTTCATTATTTGGGTTGCAGGTCAGAGGGAATGATTAAAGTGATGGAAAAAAAAAATGGGTGTTGGATTTAAAAATGTCTGGTTTTATAAAAGTTTCTTCGCCTTGCTTCCGGAGCATGGGAAATCCAGGCTACCCTAATGGTGTTCCTTTGGGAACAGAAAATAGGAACCATTTCTGAAGCCACTCTGTTTCAACATGTTCTGAAAGATTCATGAAAGCTGTTAGGGGTTTCTCCAAACCTTGCTGCCACTAAAGAGTTAATAGACATGCCTGTAAAACAGACTTTGAGGTCATTTTGAATGAAAAAACACTTCCTCTCACTTAACTTACCTCTGAGAAAAATGTTGCTCCTAACCTTGGCTGGCTAATTGTATTAACCACTGTCATTTTCACTGGGACCTCAGAAAGACAGGGCTGGCTGAGGTCCTCCCAGGCTGGGCTGTGTGACTGACTGCCCTTGCGTCCTGGGAGGGTCAGCCCTGGGTGCTGAGGCAGGGAAGTGGTTGCTGTGTCCCTCATCAGGAGATGAATTTTATCAGGCAGCAAAGCCCAGAAGGGTGGGGTGGTTTGTTGTATTTTTTTGC